CGTCGTTTCCCCCTCCCTATTGTATCAAAAAAAGCGACCAAGCTATCATTTTCATAAATGCATATTATTCATTTTAACATTTTCAAATTGTTGTTGTTAGCCATGTCCAAAGATATATTGAATCTACCAATTCTTCTTCCTTAACTTTAAAACAACTCCTTGAATTTCAAAATCAGGGTGACATTCATTTTACATATAGAAACCTCATCTCATACAAGGTACAGTAGTACCTCCAATAATTGAAGGGTAAAGTCAAAACGTGTTTTATCTTAGTTCATGGTAGATTTGAGCTGAATGGCTTGGTAGAAAGATATTAGATTTGGTTGACTTAAATGTTTAGACATTCAAATTTGGTTCAGCTTGTGCTCAATAGTGAGTGAATCAAGAGCTTCATATAAAAAATTATACATGACGAAGATCAAAAGTGTTGATCCATTCTGACGCTGATGACCTCAAACTAGGGGTGGACCCTAGTAATGAGAACTTGAAAAACAAGTTAGAGGGGTTAGGTGGATGCCTCGGTCTATAATATCTAATGATTATTAGGTCAGTAGATGCCGAGCTGTCTGAGGTGAAAAAGGAAGCAAGTGTAGGAAAAAAAGAGTATGTGGCGCTCTTAGACAATGGCAACTTACCTTTATATAGGAGGGCTCATGGCTCGGCTTAAACATGGCGTGAGAGGCAAGTTAGGCGGTAGGCCTTAGTATGCACGTCTAAGCGGTTGATGCTGGCATGCCTGTCATTCTCGTGGCACACTCATGTCACACTTCCGCGATCTACATGCATCTTGTATCCAAAGTGGGGAAGTGAGTTTCTAGAATTTCCAGGTTGCCCATGTTGGCATAATGTACAAGTTGAACCTTTCGTGTTGACGGAGATAAGGGGGAGCTCATCATGTACGTCGAAGGTGCATTAAGGTCAAAGATGTCTCTTATGTTGGTGGTAGCCTGGGACTTGGGTCGGGTGCAATCATCCGGTGACTAGGTTGGGAGTACATTCCTGGATCCATTCTAATTTGGAGGTTGGATTTTACTTGGACCTTATGGGTTGTGTTGTTGATAAAGATCTGAATTGTTGTACAAGTGTGGTCACGTTACGTGCGGTGACAAGGTGCCATAAAGCGTTTGTGTCATCATGTGTTAAGATGAAATTTGAGGGAAGATCGTCCCTCATCAATACATATAAAAAATTATTATTATTTATACAAAATTATAAATATTATATAATATAAGCTCAATTAGGTTCACAAGTTTCATTAGGTTCGAGTTTGACTCGATTAGCAAATGAGATTATATATATGTTGGGTTTAAAGTTCAATCTAATCTGAATCAAATTCACATTTTCATGATTCAAACTCATATAGCTTGTGAAAAGCTCGATTCGTATCCACCCCTGTGCATATCCTACCAACCCTAATTGGTCTTCTCATTAGTGCACCTTGAACGCCATTTAGCTCCGTATCATTTACTTTGGGCAACATTCATCATATGGCCCACTATAACATTTGGATTAGGTGCTCTGTCCACCATTAATTCAAAGACTTGGTTTCTTTTTTGTCATTTGGAGATGTCCTATTTTGTAGTCTATAGGCTCTTCTTCTTAATCTTCCCTAAGGGTGATCATGGGTTGGGCCCAGGCTTTAGGGCTAAAACTAATTAAATTTTATGTAATATATATATTGTATGTCCTTTTATAACGTTTATGTAAATAAAATAACACAATATGATATAAAGCATGTATAATAAAGGGTGCCACTTGGACCAGATTTTGTCCAATTCAATCTGGTTCAATATGAGTCCAGGTCCATTTTAATCCAATAAATACTTTGGACCATTTTGGACTAAAGGAATTCAATCTCGACTATCTAATATGTTCAAATTGGTTTGGATTTAGATCTTCCCAATCCAAACTTGGTCCATTGAGACTGGTATTCTTATTTTCTATCAATGGACCAGATATTGGTTCAACTAACCCAATCCAATATAAATAGGACTGTCAATGGATCGGAACTAGGTAGAATTGGTCCCGAAACCGATAGAACTTGTGGACTTGGAACCGACCCAGACCCTATAGGGTCTATAATTCTACACCCAGAACCAAACCGATAAGTTCTTGGGACAATCAGGTCCAACTCAATGAACCCGATTTTGATATGTATGCTAATAATAACCATTTCTAAAAAATGTAATAAAACCCCTTTAAAAACCTAAAATACAATGAAAACCCTGCTAAAAAATAATTGTAGGGGTCCAAATTGGTTCAGGACAAGGTAGACCCAGTTTTGACCCAATAGTAATTGGGAATTTTTTAAGAACCGGACCGACCCATCAGGACAAGTTTTGAAACCAGAATCGCCCCAATCGGTCTGGTTGCATCGGGTCTTACCCGAGTCATTGGCAACCCTAAATATAAATCCATTATAGATAGTCTGGGTCAAATCCTATGTAATAAATACTTTGAACCATTAAATCTAGACTAGTCCAATTCAATGTCTTATTGGTCAGTCCAACCCATCCAAATTGATTTTAATTTGGACGGGGTCTAAATTGGGATAAGATGGGTTGGCTCAGGCTACCTAAGGGATAGGACTGAGCATATCCCAAAAGTTAAAAAACTTGAACTTTTGAGACTAAGCCTAGCCTGAGGATCAAAAATCCAAGTCTAGTGTGTAAAAATTGTGGATCGGGTCGGTTTAGACTTGACCATGCCTACCCAAATTGCACCCATAGTTGGGAGTTTGGTAAAAGTTAAATGGGCCTAGCTGAAATGCCTGAACTCAACTCAATGCAATGTAAATTCATCAAATTTGGGTACCCAACTTGCACCCCCATGTACTAATTGTTTTGTTTTAAAAAACAAATACACCTACTCACTCATTGGCGAAACACTCTGTAAGGGGACGTTATGCAACATGAATTGTTTTGGTTTGAAAACAAATTATTTCTCAAAAAAAAAAAAACAAAAAAATTCAAACATTTTCTTGATTGTGTATGTATTCTTTATTTTCAAAACTGAAATTAAAAGCATGTTCTTAAATTTGTGGCTTCAAAAACATGTTTTGATCTGGTTATTGAGTATCATTTTATAAATTATATACTGTATAATTTGTTTTTGTTTTAAAAACCATTATTTAGATGGTACTTTTTTTAAAACAAAATCAACTTATTTTTCCTGTTTAACAACATATTTTTGTTTTTTCGATATTAAAAACAAATAAAAACAAAAACATTTATGTTGTATTACACCCCTCAATGATGTTGCATACTTGCAAGTTGCAACTAATATGACTCTATCACTCAGCTAAATAGTTATTGATCTATCCTTGTCACATAATTGCAACTGTTGTTGCCTTTTATCTTTATCCATATCACATTCCACCTACTTTGTTCCTTTCTCCCCATCTTTCCAATTCAAGCTGGATTTCAAAAAAAAAAAAATCTTGCGGAAGCCATTTGTCAAATAGATTTTTCTCTTCTTTTCATTTCTTGTTTTTTTCTCTACGGGACAATATACAAAACATGCGGCAAACAGAAATGGACTGATGCTTGGACAAGTGACAAGTATAGATTAGAATCAGAACACCCACAAACTGTTCCAACATTCTTATCCACATAACAGCACCACTGTATAACAGGAATATCTCCCATGAATGACAAATTAAAGAGAGATATTCCCAACATCAAAGCCTTTGATGTATTGGTATGGCCCCAGCTTTATTGAATTGATGTTTTGGAGGGCCACATCAATACATGTAATTAAGGCCATTATTCTCTATTTCAATACTGTCCTAACACAATAATAAAAATGGAGAATGACGGTTTAAACCAAGGTTGGAATTTATAGGCTCAAAGTACAATTAGGATAGGTGCCAGTTCAGAATTAATGCTAATTCATGAGCGACATTGATGTATAGAGTGGAGATAATTAACCTTTTGAAATGTTGTAGATTTACAGTGAAAATCAGAATTCTATAATGGGCCTGTCCATACTCCACCTATCTCTTGATAGGTGAAAAAACTTGGCAGTTAGAATAAATCTAGGTTTAAAACTAAAAGCATCCAAACGTATGCCATTGTATCGTATGTACCATATCCATATCAAAACTAAAACTACTAGATACAGAAAAAATATTGAGAGCTTGGACATTTTATTTTAATAATTTAAAATGTCAAAGCCCATCTTTAGTTTTCCATCTATGCATCTTCTTCCCGAAAAATTAAAGGAATGTTGACTGTAATTACATCTTTACCCCCCGCATCTACTGTAACCTGTCATGCACACTAAGCTTTCAAATACACAAAGTTAATTTTTTTAGATAAATTTCTTAAATTATCTCTACTATTTAATTAATTGTCCTCTTGGTTTTGTTTGTTTGCATAATCGTAAATGTGTTTGATGGGATTTTCATTGAATCCGGGTGATTTCTTCACTTCCTGCTTTTTCCCCCTAATTCCTCTTCAAAATCCAAAGGTACACAGGAATTTCGAATGAAAGAGAGTGCCATTTATTGTGTTTTGTTGAGATTAGGTGTTGGAGTTGGCTGGTAATGCAGAAAAATCAATACAAGATTTTTGAAGGCTTCCTAATTTTTTTTTCTTTCCATACTTTTTCCTACAAATCAAACATAGCTTAATGGTATAATTTATCAAGTTTAAAATATTTGCCTTTTTTTTATAAATAAGCAAATAACCAATCCTTCCCCATCGAGGGTTAATTATTACCGTCCATATATATTGTTTATCACCACGTGTCCAATTTAGATCATCCATGTGGTATGCTTTTTCTGTATATTATTACATACCTAATCATCTCTCCTGTGCTTAAACTACTTGACTACTTGTTTTGCGAAGTGTGTGGCCGCTCCTTGTTTTGCAAAATTGCAATCAGAATTCATAAACTGCTAAAGCACTTCTGAAAATAATGCGTGCACATCTCGTCAAAGTCAAAGTCAAATATTGCCAGATTTTGCTTTCCCATTATAGATCTTAAAACCAGCGTGGAGCCATTAATTCTAACTGGGAGTCTACTCTTATCTGTGTAGAGCCACTTGACCTCCTTTAATAAATTCAAATCGAGCAGCAGCAGCAGCCTACACCGACCAAGAGCAAAGCAAGCAACAATGTCTTCTTCATCACCAATCTCCATCTTCTTCCTTCTCATCTTCCTCCTCTTCTTCCTGGCTCAAGCCATCGTTCCTCCTTCCAAAACATTCAAGTTCGTCAATGAAGGCGAATTCGGTCAACACTACGTAGAATATTATGCAGACTATCGTCTCTTACCGCTCGCCGCACCCTCGCCCTTCGCTCTCTGCTTCTACACCAGCGTTCCTCACAAGTATACCCTAGCGATGAGAATGGGTGTGAATACAGAAGGCGAGCCCATGCGCTGGGTCTGGGAAGCAAACCGTGGCAACCCAGTTGGCGAGGGTGCCACTCTCACATTTGGCGCCGACGGCAATCTCGTCCTGGCCGACGCTGATGGTCGGATTGCTTGGCAGACTGGTACTGCCAACAAGGGCGTGGTTGACCTCCAAGTGCTTCCCAACGGCAACTTGGTCTTACTTGACAGACGACGTAGATTTGTGTGGCAGAGCTTCGACCACCCCACCGACACTCTCTTCATCGGCCAGCTACTGCGCCCTGGCGGACCCAATAAGCTGGTTAGCCGTGCGTCTATTGAAGATAACTCAGAAGGGCCTTACAGTTTAGTCTTGGAGGAGAAGAGATTGGCTCTGTACTTGAAGAGCAACAATTCGGCCAACCCAATTCTCTATTATACCTCTGAAGATTTGGGAGTTCAAGATGGGTCTCTGACGAAGGTAGCCTTTACTAGTTCTCCCACATTTAAGGTGAGAGAGTATGAGCTAAGATTGGATATTGATGTCGATAACTCCACTGTTCATGTGATGAATACCATCTTGGCAACACCCAAATACAATAGCACCTTGTCGATACTTCGATTGGAGTGGGACGGCAACCTCAGGGTTCACACTTATTATGATCTTTCCAGATTTCATGCGTGGGAGTTATCTCTCGCCCTCTTCGACAGAAACGTGGACATCTTCGACAACACTAGGCGAGAGAGCGAGTGCCACTGGCCTAGCAAATGTGGGTCGTTAGGAGTTTGTGAGGACGACCAGTGCGTGGCTTGCCCTAGGACGCAGGGGTTGATAGGTTGGAGCAAGAGTTGTGCACCGCCAGCTCTCCCGCCGTGCAAGGCCGGAGCCAAGGTGGATTACTACAAAGTGGAGGGGGTTGAACACTGGATGAACAAGTATTACGAGGGAGATGGACCCACGAAGCTGGCTGACTGCAAGGATAAGTGTAGCAAGGACTGTGGTTGCTTGGGCTTCTTTTATAAGGAGGAATCCTCTACATGCTTGGTGGTTCCTGAACTTGGCACTCTAGCTAAGGTCTCAAATCCCTCTCATGTGGGTTATATCAAGATATCTAACTAGATAGATGATGGATTTTGTGTATCTGTATGTAAAAGAAATAAATGCCTTAAGGTTTGTGACATGATTATGCATGTGATGCAATGGGTTTTGGGTTTTCTCTCCCTGCTCTTCCTGCTAAAGAAAAAGATGAAAATAGAAAAAATATAAGAAGAAATGCCAACAACCTTGGAATTGTTAAATCCATGAATTAAATAATTATACTACAGTCAAGAGCCCACCTTCCTGAAGTAGTTGTATTACTTGTATATACCCTAGACCACTTTGTTGGTTGGTGGAGGTATCAATTTGGTCCAGGCCAATTGTACATTATATAAATCCTTTTTGTCGGCAGGGGTATTAATGGATTGGGCTTTTTCCATGGGCTTTATTTGGGAAGTTCATATCCAGCTGCAAGACATGAGTGAAACTTTAATTCTAGGTTTAGTCCATGGAACCAATATGAGTTGGGCCAGGTTCGTCTAGGTTTAGTCCATGGTAAGTAGAAATTGGAATTAGTTGAACACAACACGGTGGCTGTTCAGCAGCCTGTGATATCAATGATAATGTCCCATGCTAGTGAGGGCCTACAATAAAAATTTAAATGGTTGTAGGTCTTTTTTTTTATTTTTTTTATTACTTGCATAGATTTTTATCATTAGTTTTACAGCCCGCTAAACAGCATAGGGTAGACTGAAATGGTCACTGATGTGTAGAAACAGCCTGGTCTAAGTGCATATTGGGCCAGACTAAAGATTTCGAAGTCCATTGAGCTGGGCAACATTAAATAGGTTTCTATTTATAGCAATTTGGGACTAGATCTTGGTAACGATGGCAACTACACATCAAGGTGCTACCACGTTATCAAAAATAAGCAACTACATATAATATAAAGGGGAATCTTGACTCTGGACAGAGGACCCAAAGAGGGGTCTGGGGCCCATAACTTGCCACCTGGCCCATTGCAACAATGGGACCTACCACTGAAGGGCAGTGATAAAATGTTAGGCCCAACCAGCTCTAAACGTCAGCCAAGCTACGCTGCAAAACTTACATACAAGAATATAATGCACAGAGTTCTACAATTCCAATAACCCTATAGCCTAGGTTTTGCCTAAAAATATTGTATTGAAATTTCATATAATTAGGGCACTAAACATATAATAAAAATGAAAAAAAAAATCTATACTGCTGGAAATACATGATACCAAAAGAACATTGAACAATGAAAATCACCTGTGAATTTGATAAATAAGCACCTGATTGGTTATCACTTTTATGATATTGGTTGATTGAGTACAAGTTTTTTTTGATATTATAGTTAAACCCAAAAAATTAATATTTTAAGAGAGACCATAATTGTCATGTCTTAAAAATAAAAGGGTAAATTGCTGAAACCTCATCTTAAATTTCTGATTATTACTGAAACCTCCTCTTAAGTTTGGTAATTGATATTACCTCTCTTAAACTTTTTGACATAGTTGCACGTAGACCCTTTCTGGTAGAATTTTCTAAAAACGGGCATGAAAATGTCTAAAATACCGATGCAGTTACTTTTGATAAAAAATTATTATTTTCCAAATTTTCTCTTCATATGAATCACTACCTCAAATCTTTCCAAATCTCTTCAGAAATTGATTTATTTTCTAAATTTACCCTTTATATCAATCACTCAAAGGTAAAGCTGCAACTTTAAATTCTTTGTTTTTGTTGTTCATAAAGTCTTTATTGTTTTTCTCCTCCTGTAGAAATCAAACTCAGTGGTAACTGAATGGGTATTTTAGATATTTTCATGCATTTTTTTAGAAGATTCTACTAGAGGGAGTCTACTTGCAACTGTATTAGAAAATTCAGGGGAGGTGATTGCAATTACTAAACTTCAGGAGAGGTTTCAACAACGATAAAAAACTTCAGGGAAGGTTTCAGCAATTTACTCAAAAAAACTATGAAAATAAATAATAAAAAGTTGGGAAACATGGATTTGCACTCACTTAAGGAGGCAACAGTGTTTTCAACAACCAAGATCCGGCCAGTTGAACCAGTGACCCGATCATGATTTCGGTTTGGATCAACCTGTAACCTGCTATAGTGCTATATTAGAAAAGACTGTTGACTAAGTCAAATATCCATCATCTAGACAATTGAACAATTGATCCATCTTACCCGTTTAACATGTTATAAGGAGTTTATACTATTTATTATTTTCAAATTTTTTAATTTATTGTTATGATGACACAAGTTGATGATCTGCTGATACGTACATTGATCCAGTGGGAATAGCGGTTCAGCCTCTAAGCCGATATAAGACAGAATTTTACGAAAATAAAACGTCGGAGGTCCAAATTCTTGTTTTATATTGTCATACATTAAACAAAAACATATATTTTAAAGGGTAAATGGCTGAACTTCCTATAAAGTTTGATAATTCTAATTAATTATCTCTTCTAAACTTTCTGACATAGTTGCAACTTGCAAGTAGATCTTATCTGTGAAAATCTTCTAATAAGAGGCATGAACATGTCCTAAATATCCATGTAGGTTTACTACTGAGACTAATTTCTATAGAAAAATAATACAAACTTTATAAACAACAAAGAAAAGAGAGTTTAAAATTGTAGTTTTTATCTTTGAGGAATTGATATGAAGGGAAAATTTCGAAAATAAATCAATTTTAGAAAAGAGTTGGAGAAGCTTGGGGTAGTGATTGATATAAAGAAAATTGGAAGATAAACATTTTGATCAAAAGTAACTGCATAGGTATTTTGGACATTTCCATGCCTCTTGTTAGGGGAATTTAACAGGGGGCCTATTTGCAACTATGTAAAAAATTTCAGGGAGGTGATGCAGTTATCAAACTTCAGGGGAGGCTTCAGCAATGACAAAATACTTCACAAGATGTTTCAACAAATGACCCTATTTTAAATTGACAGAAATCTATGTATCTAGCAGCAACCTGTAGGATTCACAGGATACTGTATTTTTAAGGGAGAAAAATGAAATAACAGTGATTCACCAAAGAGTGAATTTAACATCACCAAATATTCATCCAAATTCAGCAAATTTTTTTCATGATTTTTAACAAAAAAAAAATGCCCAAAAATCCTACTTATGAATAGTAACCAATTCATAGACAATGCAAAAAAAAAAACAAGCGAAAAAGTTTTGGTTTTCTCATTTGAAACCAAAAAATTTCAAATCAAACAAATAATCATCCAAAAAAATAAAAAAGAACACCAAATATGGAGGGGAGGAGTTTGGGCGAACTAATCTTCTTGTCGCCAGCGACTAGACAGTGGGATTTTCGCCGTTGAATTAGTCTAAAAGCATATCTACGAACACAGATAAGAGGGGAGTTTCAAACTTAAAAAACCCAAGAAAATAGCTTCAAATCGAAGAAAAACTTCACAAAAAAAACAGAAAAGGGGCAAAACAACAGGTCTGCTGGTCGTTTTTCCCCACCATTGATTGTCATCAGTGGACCGGAAATTTAAGGCGTTGCTCCTTGGTTTGCTGTGTTCAAATGGGAGGAAAGGGAAGAAAACCCTTGTGTGGGGGTATTTTGGGTATTAAAAAATTAACAGGGACTGGTTTGTCCCATTTGATTGGAAAAAGCACTTCTCCAAGAAGTGCTGAAAAAAATCAACCTTGAGGTCACTTTGTTAAGAAGTGCTTCTTTTAAAAAAGTACTTCTTCTTCACTTTTTTACCAAACACATATAAGCACTTAATAACCACTTAATGTATGGTCCCAGCTCTTAAAAGAAGCACTTATTAAAAGAAATATTTTTTAAAAGTAAAATCAAACAGAGTTTAAAATAAAAAGATTTTTCAATTGTGAATATAGAATATCACCAATGTTAAGCAAATTTAGTATTTTTTTTACTAAACTCCAAAGAAGACATTGGTCGTTGCTTTGATGTGAGATCATTTACAAGTTTCAACATTATGTGGTAAAAGTACCCCTTAAAAAGAAGCAAGAGATATGGTCAGATGCAGCACTATATTTATTTAGTATTTTTCTCATGTTTTTGCCAAATAATGTCATGTTCTTGCCCAAATCAGCATTGTAAACCAAAGGGTAATTAAACAATATTAATTATTTTAATATGTGCATTTCTAGCTAATTAGTATGACCACCAATGACATATATATTCATCTTGAATTAATGCCCTAAGCTTATTAGGAAATAAGAATCAATTAATTACATAGACACAGTTTTGGAATTAACTGAACCAACAAAGAGAATAGAGAATTAGAGAGTGCCCATCTCTTTGATAGTCTATATAAATTAATGGCGTCAGTGAATCACCCATAGATAGAGCATATATAAAATAACACTTTGTTCCTTTTCATTAATCACCAAAACGCGTTGCTTGTCTAATTTGTCAAGTACTGTAAGACCCAAATCTAGATATTTTGAGATACATTTATTTATAATCAATGGGGCCTTACCAAACAGCTTCTTGGCTGTCAGCAAGTTTTTTTCCTATTCCATGAGTAAGGGAGTTAATGGACTGGTTTTGGATTGAACCCCATCCAGTCCAAAATCAAATTTGGATGGATTGGACGGACTAATAAGACATATTGGATTGGACCAATCCAATCCAAAATATTTATTAAATTGGATTGGACATGGTTGATCCGTAATAAATTTATATTGGATTGGGTTGGATTAAGCCAATATCTGGTCCATTGATATAAGATAAGAATATATGTGTCAATGAACCAGGTTTGGGCTGAAATCAATCTAAATCAAAATAAATTTGAACAGATTAGACGGTCCAGACATTAAATTGGACCAGCCCAAATTGGTCCAAAACATCCATTGGATTGTGATGGAGGCCCATCCCAAGGCCCATCTCACTCCTAGGGGCGGCAGCTCCTAGGATAAGGTCAAGAGTCCAAGATAAGTCAAAAAAGGATAACTCAAGACTCCAATCAAGATCCAACAAAGACTCCAAGAAGCATCAAGAAATCCAAGACTCCCAGATTCATGCATAAGGAGAGCCAGGGAGATC